GAAGTGTACGATATTCATGAAGTGTACGATAGTCATGAAGTGTGTGATAGTCATGAAGTGTACAATAGTCATGAAGTGTACGATAGTCATGAAGTTTACGATAGTCATGAAGTGTACAATAGTCAAGAAGTGTATGATAGTCGTAAAGTGTAGTGTAGGTGAGTCATGAAGTGTACGATAGTCATGAATTGGACGATAGTCATGAAGTGTACAATAGTTATGAAGTGTACGATAGTCATGAAGTGTAGGACAGTCATGAAGTGTACGATAGTCAGGAATTGGACGATAGTCATGAAGTGTACAATAGTTATGAAGTGTACGATAGTCATGAAGTGTACAATAGTCATGAAGTGTACGATAGTCATGAAGCGTAGCATAGTCATGAAGTGTACAATAGTCATGAAGTGTATGATAGTCGTGTAGTGTAGGTGATTCATGAAGTGTACGATAGTCATGAATTGGACGATAGTCATCAAGTGTACAAGAGTCATGAAGTGTACAATAGTCATGAAGTGTACGATTGTCATAATGTGTATGATAGTCGTAAAGTGTAGGATAGTCATGAAGTGTACGATAGTCATGAATTGGACGACATTCATGAAGTGTACAATAGTTATGAAGTGTACGATAGTCATGAAGTGTAGGATAGTCATGAAGTGTACGATAGTCATGAATTGGACGATAGTCATGAAGTGTACAATAGTTATGAAGTGAACGATAGTCATGAAGTGTACAATAGTTATGAAGTGTATGATAGTCATGAAGTGTACAAGAGTCATGAAGTGTACGATAGTCATGAAGTGTACGATAGTCATGAAGTGTACGATACTCATCAAGTGTACAATACTCATCAAGTGTACGATAGTCATGAAGTGTACGATAGTCATGAAGTGTGCGATAGTCATGAAGTGTTCACGATAGTCACGAAGTGTACACGATAGTCATGAAGTGTACCATAGTCATGAAGTGCACGATAGTCATGAAGTGTACGATAGTCATGAAGTGTACGATAGTCATGAAGTGTACAATAGTCATGAAGTGTACGATAGTCATGAAGTGTGTGATAGTCATGAAGTGTACAATAGTTATGAAGTGTACGATAGTCATGAAGTGTGTGATAGTCATGAAGTGTACAATAGTTATGAAGTGTACGATAGTCATGATGTGTACAATTGTCATGAAGTGTTCAATAGTCATGAAGTGTATGATAGTCATGAAGTGTACGATAGTCATGAAGTGTACACGATAGTCATGAAGTATACACGATAGTCATGAAGTGTACATTAGTCATGAAGTGTACGATAGTCATGAAGTGCACGATAGTCATGAAGTGCACGGTAGTCATGAAGTGTACAATAGTCATGAAGTGTACGATACTCATGAAGTGTACGATACTCATCAAGTGTACGATACTCAGCAAGTGTACGATACACATCAAGTGTACGATAGTCATGAAGTGTACGATAGTCATGAAGTGTGCGATAGTCATGAAGTGTACACGATAGTCATGAAGTGTACACGATAGTCATGAAGTGTACCATAGTCATGAAGTGTACGATAGTCACGAAGTGTACAATAGTCATGAAGTGTACGATACTCATGAAGTGTACGATACTCAGCAAGTGTACGATACTCATCAAGTGTACGATAGTCATGAAGTGTACGATAGTCATGAAGTGTGCGATAGTCATGAAGTGTACACGATAGTCATGAAGTGTACACGATAGTCATGAAGTGTACCATAGTCATGAAGTGCACGATAGTCATGAAGTGCACGATAGTCATGAAGTGTACGATAGTCATGAAGTGTACGATAGTCATGAAGTGTACGATATTCATGAAGTGTACGATAGTCATGAAGTGTGTGATAGTCATGAAGTGTACGATAGTCATGAAGTGTACGATAGTCATGAAGTGTACAATAGTCATGAAGTGTACAATAGTCATGAAGTTTACGATACTCATCAAGTGTACGATACTTATCAAGTGTACAATAGTCATGAAGTGTGCGATAGTCATGAAGTGTACACGATAGTCATGAAGTATACACGATAGTCATGAAGTGTACGATAGTCATGAAGTGCACGATAGTCATGAAGTGCACGGTAGTCATGAAGTGTACAATAGTCATGAAGTGTACGATACTCATGAAGTGTACGATACTCATCAAGTGTACGATACTCAGCAAGTGTACGATACTCATCAAGTGTACGATAGTCATGAAGTGTACGATAGTCATGAAGTGTGCGATAGTCATGAAGTGTACACGATAGTCATGAAGTGTACACGATAGTCATGAAGTGTACCATAGTCATGAAGTGCACGATAGTCATGAAGTGCACGATGGTCATGAAGTGTACGATAGTCATGAAGTGTACGATAGTCATGAAGTGTACGATATTCATGAAGTGTACGATAGTCATGAAGTGTGTGATAGTCATGAAGTGTACAATAGTCATGAAGTGTACGATAGTCATGAAGTTTACGATAGTCATGAAGTGTACAATAGTCATGAAGTGTATGATAGTCGTAAAGTGTAGTGTAGGTGAGTCATGAAGTGTACGATAGTCATGAATTGGACGATAGTCATGAAGTGTACAATAGTTATGAAGTGTACGATAGTCATGAAGTGTAGGATAGTCATGAAGTGTACGATAATCATGAATTGGACGATAGTCATGAAGTGTACAATAGTTATGAAGTGTACGATAGTCATGAACTGTACAACAGTCATGAAGTGTACAATAGTCATGAAGTGTACGATAGTTGTTGTTGAGTATCTGTTTTAGGCTTTCCTCTGGGATGTAGTCAACTTAGTACATTTCTCTATTCTGTGTAATGTGTTACATTATATTAGGTGTAGACATTAGTGGTTGGGTTATATTAGGAATAGGGTGCCCCCCAAGTGATTTTATCAAAGGCTAGGCACCCCAAAATCCGAATTGGGGTACCTCACCACGCATCCCAACATTTGGGACGCGGCTCCAACCTGGACCCACGTTTCTCAACCATGAAAACGCGGCTCCAGCTTGTGGAACCACGAATCCAACTTGTGGAATCGCGGTTCCACTAGTGGGGGCGATTCCAGGCCCACTTTGAGGGTTCCTCACGTCCCCACCTTGACTGTGGGCGACTTGAGCACCCAATAGGGCACCCCAAGTCTCTTGGGTGCCATTCTCCTCACCTGGACCAGCCCAAGTCGCCCAGCACTTCTCCATCTCTCTCTTCACCACAATCTGGGCCTACTTAGCCCAATATCTTTGTCATCTTTATTTACCCTTTTGTCTTACACTTTCTGGGACTCCTCTTGGAACATATCTTTACCAAAACCAACTTGTGCATCTTACAGCTATGCACATCGAGTCTACTTTTCTACAATATTCATGAAGTGTACAATAGTCATGAATTGGAGGATAGTCATGAACAAGGTGCAAAAAAACGGCATCCGTATTAAACGGTCCGTTTTAAACGGCCGTTTTTTACGGTGGGTTTTGGTAAAAAACGACGTTTTTTTGTTAGACCTTTTTTCATGTTTTTTTTTTTTTTTTTTTTTTTGGTATAAAAAGCACGCGTAAACAAGTGGCCTGATTGCTAAGGCGGCCTGCATCGTTCTACGGGGTAATTAGCGGCTTTGAAACAGGTATGTGATGTCCATGCCCCTAGTCCGTCGCCTTCTAGGTCTCATTCTGCTCCTACTCCACCATCCCCCCCATCCTCCTCCTCCTAAGCGTCATCCACCTAGTCCTCCCCCCCCTTGTCCTCCCCCCCCTAAGCGTTATTAGCTCGGCCAAAAACAATGTACACCGTATTATACGGTGGTACGAAAAAAACGGTCGTATAAAACGGCCGTTTTTTTGCACCAAACGCAAAATGCAACTTTTGACCGTTTTAATCGTATTATACGACCGTTTTATACGATCCCGTTTGAAACGGTCAAAAAAGGTAAAAAACGCCGTTTTTTTGCACCTTGGTCATGAAGTGTACAGTAGTCATGAAGTGTACAATAGTCATGAAGTGTACGATTGGCATAATGTGTATGATAGTCTTAAGGTGTAGGATAGTCATGAAGTGTACGATAGTCATGAATTGGACGACATTCATGAAATGTACAATAGTTATGAAGTGTACGATAGTCATGAAGTGTAGGACAGTCATGAAGTGTACGATAGCCATGAATTGGACGATAGTCATGAAGTGTACATTAGTTATGAAGTGTACGCTAGTCATGAAGTGTACAATAGTCATGAAGTGTACGATAGTCATGAAGTGTACGATAGTCATGAAGTGTAGGATAGTCATGAAGTGTACAATAGTCATGAAGTGTATGATAGTCGTAAAGTGTAGTGTAGGTGAGTCATGAAGTGTACGATAGTCATGAATTGGACGATAGTCATGAAGTGTACAATAGTCATGAATTGGACGATAGTCATGAAGTGTACAAGAGTCATGAAGTGTACAATAGTCATGAAGTGTACGATTGTCATAATGTGTACGATTGTCATAATGTGTATGATAGTCGTAAAGTGTAGGATAGTCATGAAGTGTACGATAGTCATGAATTGGACGACATTCATGAAGTGTACAATAGTTATGAAGTGTACGATAGTCATGAAGTGTAGGATTTTCATGAAGTGTACGATAGTCATGAATTGGATGATAGTCATGAAGTGTACAATAGTTATGAAGTGTACGATAGTCATGAAGTGTATGATAGTTATGAAGTGTACGATAGTCATGAAGTGTACGATAGTCATGAAGTGTACGATAGTCATGAAGTGTACAATAGTCATGAAGTGTAAGATAGTCATGAAGTATTGGTGGTTTTTTTGCCCTGATGCACACCGCCTGTCATGGCTGTGTGCCTTTGCTTGGCTGCCTCCTCTAAGCCATTGGGTGAAGAGAATCTCAGCTGCCGCCTTGGGCCTTCTTTTCTTGCAGAGACAATTGTGCCCTGATCAACTAAACAGCTCTGGCTCCGTCCCCCCCTGCCCTGCGAACAGCTTCTGGACCCCTCCCGCTCGCCTGCTCTTCTGCGAGCGCTCTACGGCCTCCTCATGCTGCTGCCGCAGGTGATTAACAAACACCGCAGCCTATATCTTCATGCATATCTTCATGGCCATGAAGATATGCATCAGTGTTTGTTAGGGACAGTTTGAGTCATCACAAACGGCATGCATGGGTGAGAACATGCGGCATGCTCTTTCCACGCTGCCCGCTTTGCACAACTTGAATGCTCCATGTACCTGCAACCAGCATGAATTTCTCCTTGTGACATTTAAGTCAATCCAATCACAATAACCCACTCTCCCTCGCTCCTCATCTCCCCTCTCCCCCTCTTCCCTCTCCCTCTCCTCCCTCTCCTCTCCCATTTCCCCCTCAACACTCATTCTTCCCCCACCCCCTCCCTCCCATCCCCCTCCCAGCATGGAGTTGCCTTCCGAGTGCTGCACACCCGCCTCTCCACCGTCCCCCCTCCCTTCATGCTCCACCCCACTCCTTCCCCCATCCCCCCCCTCCCTCTCCACTCCGTCTCCTCCTACTTGCCTTACCTACCCACCCCTCTCCCTGCCCCTATCGCTGCTGCCACACTCCCCCCACATCTCAACCCAACCGCCACCGCATTTTCCTCCAAGCCCTCCTCTCGCTCCTCCTCCCCTCCCCCCCACTCCTCCTCCCTCAACGGCCCGCTCCCGCACTCCCATCTTCTCTTCTCTGCCTCAGCAGCAGCAGCAGCAGCAGCGTTAGGTGCTGCCTCACAGCCTGTCAGCATTCCCTCACACGGTAACTCTCTTTCTCAGAACAGCAGCAGTACTGCCAGTTTAGCCGCGGACATGGGGGGAAGCCAAGAGGAGCGAGGTGGGGGACAAGGTACTGCTGCTGTCTCTGCGACTCCTGCTGCTGCTGTTCCTTCCATGCCCTCTGCTGCCCCAGCCTTCCCCGTCGCTGCTGCTGCCATGCGCAGTGCTTCTTTCAATGCCTTCACCCCTCCTGCTGCCACTGCCTCTGCTGCCTCTGCAGCTGCTACTGCTGCTTCAGCTGCTGCTTCAGCCCAAACAGCCTATGCCATGCGTTCTAGTGCCACAGATGGGGCGGCCGTTCCTCCATCATTTATCCCACAGGGTAATTTACCCTCTGCTGCAGCAGTAAGAGCGGGCAGCTGGTCTGGTGCCCCAGCAGCAGCACTGCCTCCTATGGCAGTGGCAGGAGGAGCAGGTATACCAGCAGGAGCAGCAGAAACGCCAAGTTTAGGCGCTGGTTTGGCTCGAGAAACGGCAATGGTCAATGGAGCTGGTATCGCCACTACCAGCACCAACACTGGCGCCAGCCCCGCCATCAGCATAGATGGAAGCGGGTCCTCATTAGACGGCCCGCCACTCCTCCGGATGTTCCTAGACGTGCAACGGAGACACAAGGAGCTGAGAGCGCTGCCAGGTGGCAGCACGGGATTGGGTCCTGCGCAGGGGATGTTTGGTGGAGCAATGGGGACTTTTCAGGGAGGAGGGGGGGGAGGAGTGGGTGGAGCACAGTTGTCATTGGCAGGTGGGGATGGATTTGGGATGGTTGGGGGTGATGATGGGCATTCGGGGAGTGGATCAGGAAGAGGGGGCGTGTCACACTCACAGCATGGAGGTGGGGGGTACTTCCAACCACTACAGCAGGAATAGCAGCATTTCTTGAAGTTTACAGGCAGGTGCAATGCAGCACTTAGGAAATTGTAAAACATGATTTGTGGTACGATTGACAATCTTGGGCAATCTTGGATGCATGAAAACACAGTCTTGAGAATTCTTGCATTGGTATACTGGTTGTTGGAAATAATGAAATGACTTGATCATTTCAGGAGTCTCGTGTGCTGTAGATATACGCGAGTAGTGCAACATCGAGGTTGTCAGAAAGAACTCAAGTCACTAACCACTGAGTTAAAAGGGCTTGTTAAGTAGCGAATAACTGCGCCCATAACCACCCCAGATAGATAGATGGCCGGTATGTCAAACATCACTCATGTTGTTACTGTAGACTCTACAGGTTTGTGCCTTAGAGGGTACAACACACTAGTCTATATTGCCCTGTATCTTCCTATTCTAGTCATTCTCTCTTTCTAATATGGTATCATGAGTAGGTTAGGTTCCTCTCGCCCTCCCGCGCTTCCGCCCTACGCCCTAGCACCCCCCTCGTGCCCCGCCCCTAGCTGGCCCGCCCTGGCCGCTTCGCGCCCGCTCCTAGCCGGCCCCCTGGCCGTCGGGCCCGCCCCTCGCTAGCCCCCTGGCCGTCGCGCCCGCCCCTAGCCGGCCCTCTGGCCGTCGCGCCCGCCCCTAGCTGGCCCCCTGGCCGTCGCGTCCGCCCCTAGCCGCCCCCCTGGCCGTTGCGCCCGCCCCTTGCTGGCCCCCTGGCCGTCGCGTCCGCCCCTAGCCGGCCCCCTGGCCGTCGCGCCCGCCTCTAGCCGCCCCCCTGGCCGTCGCGCCCGCCCCTAGCTGGCCCCCCTGGCCGTTCGCGCCCGCCCCTACCTGGCCCCCTTGGCCGTCGCGCCCACTCCTAGCCGGCCCCCCTGGCAGTTCGCACCCACCCCTAGCTAGCCCCCTGGCTCTCGCGCCCCTCCTAGCCGGCGCCCTGGCCGTTTGCGCCCGCTCCTAGCCGGCCCCTCGCGCCCCTGTCGCGCCTGCTCCTCGCCGGCCCCTCGCGCCTATCCTTCGTCGGCCCCACCCCCCCTCTTCTAGCCGGCCCCAGGTTCGCTACACCGCCGGCCCGTCTCTGCCTCGTGCCCCGTTCGTCCTTCTCCGATCTGCACTGCCCTGCACCGCCCGGAGCCGCTCTCCACCACTTGGCACCGTACTCCACCGCCCGGCACCGCACTGCACCGCACTGCACCGCGCTGCACCACACTGCACCGCCCTGCAACGCACTGCACCACACTGCACTGCCCTGCACCGCCCTGTACCGCTCTGCATCGTTCCTAATGGCAAAGGTACTGCGCTTCGACACTGAGGGTCAGCCGCTTGAGTTTGACGCGTGGCTGGTCGACCTCCGTCGCCATCTCACTGGTCAGCGGCAGGATGGCCACTCGCTGTCTGTCCACCTTGACGGTAAGCTCCCCTGCCCTGACCCCCCTGCTGCGCTGCCTGCTGACCCCTCGTCTGCTGAGCGTGAGTCCGCTGCCGCTGCTGCCCTTGCTCGCTCTGTCTGGCTGTCGCGTGACGCTGTTGCGCAGCTTGCTATCAGCCATGCCCTCCCACTTTCTGAACGCCCTCGCTTTATGTCCGTCACGACTGCGCAGGCGTTCCTCGATGCTGTTGTCCAGCGCTATTCCACCCCGCCTGCTGCCTCTGTAGGTCGCCTGATCCTGCCGATGTTTTTCCCTGACCTTGCGTCTTTCCCTACTGTTGCTGACCTTGCTGCCCACTTGCGCACGTTAGACGCGACCTGGCGCTCTGCCTGCACTGAGACCCAGCTTATAGCTCATCAGCCGCCCCTCTCCTCTGCCCTTTACCTGCTAGCCACCCGCCTCCCTGACCGTCTTGCCACTGCCCGCGACCGCTTCCTTAGCGTCCACCTCGGTGACCTCACCCTCACCGACTTTGTCGACACCCTGTCAGCCATAGAGACCCACCACCGCTCTATCGCCCATACTAGCGGTACTGTGCCGGTCCCCGTCTTTCAGGGTTGTGCCCCTGCCCAGTGCACCTTCTCCGACGGTTCTGCTGCTGTGGCTGAGACTGCTGCTGCAGCGCAGCTCCGTCCGGGGAAGGGTCGCCGCCCCAAGGCTGGGTGCGGCGGAGGGGGTGGGGGTGCAGGTGGAGGTGGTAGTGGAGTCGGAGCGCCTGGTGGTGGCGCAGACGAGGGGACTGCCCCTGGTGCCGTTGGGCAGCCGTCCCAGCAGCCGCAGCCGTCGCAGCTGGACCAGCACCACCCGCAGCCGCAGCCCTAGCTCTAGCCACAGCAGCCACAGCAGTAGAGGCGGGCGAGTGGTCTCCTGCCCGGGTGGCCTGGCGCTGGTGGCAGCGGTGGACGTGGTGGTGGACGTGCGCGTGGTGAGCTCCCGGGTGGCAGTTCGGGTGACGGGCGCTGCCAGTACGAGCTTCTGACTGGTCCTCGCCGCGGCTCCGTTTGTGGTAAGACGGGTCACTCCCCTGCTTGCTGCTTCCGTCGCCTTGACGACCTGTTTCGTCTTCGCTTCGGCCCGTCACCCGACCTCCCTGACTGGTTCAGCTTGCTTCGTCGTAGTATTCCGATTTGTTATATGGACATGGATGAGCTTAGCTCTGCCCTGTATGTGCTGTATGCTAATGACTCTAGTGTGACTGGTTCTTACTACCCCGTGTTGCCTAGTGTAGGTGTGCCTAGTCGTGCCCCCCCTGCTGCGTCAGGCGTAGGACCTTCTGCTTTGTTTAGCCTTGGTTCTTCCGTCGCTGCTTCGGCCCCGGCCGCCACTGCTACGCTCACCTTCACCCTGGACTCTGGTGCTTCCCGGTGTTTCTTCCGCGACTCCACTACGCTGTCCTCGCTTGCTGCTCCTGTTGTGGTTTCCCTTGCTGACCCCTCCTCCGGTCCGGTAATCGCTCGTAGTTCTACCACCCTTCCCTGCTCGGCGGCTCCTTCCGGCTCGCTCACAGGCTTGCACGTCCCCTCGTTTTCCAGGAACCTAGTTGGTGTTGGGTGCCTCCAGGACCTTGGCGTTTCTTGGTCACGAGCGGCTTGCTGTCTGTATTGAGGCCGCCATAGGTGCTCCCCTCGCTACGTTCCCCCGGGACCCAGTGTCTAGCCTGTTTACACTGGAGACCGCGCCCCCCCCCCCGGTTCGGACGCCTCCCCAGGTAGCTGTGTCGTCTCAGGTTGCAGCGGCCTGCTCGTGTCGGTCGCTTACTCACCCGACCCTCCTGTGGCACCACCGTCTAGGTCACCCTGCGCTCCCGCGTCTCCGCCACATGTCACAGCATGGTCTTGTCCTAGGTTTCCCAGGGTCGTTCCCCGAGTTGCCCCCCTCCACAGCGCCACCGTGCACGCCCTGCGTCGAGGGTCGGCAACACCGTGCCCCTCACTCCTCCTCTTTCCCCCCCACCACCGCACCGCTACAAACCTTGCACATGGACGTCTGGGTCCCCGCCCCCGTCCATGGACCACGTCGCGAGTGCTACTTCCTCGTGCTTGTCGACGACTACACGCGCTACACCACGGTTTTTCTCTTGGAGCGGAAGGCCGACGTGGCTGATGTTCTTATCCCCTGGCTAGTTTCTGCACGTGTCCACCGCGGTCTCCCTGTCCTGCGTCTTCACTCTGACCGTGGTGGCGAGTTTGCCTCCGGTGTCCTTGGTCGCTTCTGTCATGCAGAGGGCATCACCCAGACGTTCACCCTGCCGGACTCGCCGCAGCAGAATGGGGTCACTGAGTGACGCATCGGTTTGGTCATGGAGGTGGCTCGTACCTCCATGATCCATGCCGGTGCACCCCATTTTCTGTGGCCGTTCGCGGTTCGCTACGCTGCTCACCAGCTTAACCTGTGGCCACACTCTCAGCGGCCGCAGGTTTCGCCGACCCTTCTTTGGACCGGGTCTCCTGGTGACGCATCTGCGTTCCACGTCTGGGGATGCCTTGCTCACGTTCGTGCCTTCGGCACGAACAAGCTTACTGCCCGCACTGTCCCCTGTGTCTTCCTTGGTTTCCCCCTTGACTTGTCCGACTGGCACTTCTACCACCCGCCGTCCCACCGTTTCTTTCACTCTCGCAACGTTACCTTTGACGAGTCCGTTTCCTTCTACCACCACTTTCCGCACCGTGGTCCCCCGGTTACCCCCCCCGTGTTCCTGGTTCCCCCGTCCCTCGTAGCCCCAGCCCCCCCCCCCCCCCCCCCCCGCGTCCTGCCCTGTCCGGTGTGTCTCACGTCACTCCCCTCCCGTCGGCTGTCCCAGTTGAGGAGTCTGCTGACTCTGGTGGTCCTGCGGCCCAGTCCTTGCAGCATGCCTCCCCCCCGTTGTCTCCTCCTCTGCCGCCGCAGCAGTAGTCGTCGCCGCTGCCGCCGCCGCCTAAGCCGTCACTGCCGCAGCAGCCGTTCGTCCTCTCTTGTGGTGCTGGAGTTGGGAGCGGTACCGGTGCTGGCGGGATTTCCGGCTCTGGGGGTGTTCCCTCTGGGGGTGCAGGCATGGAGTGTTCCGGCGGTAGCCGTGGAGCTGCTGGCGGTCCTGGAGTCGGTGTTGTGCCGCAGCAGCCGCCGTCCCCGCCGGTGTCAGCCCTTCGCGTGCTCGGCCTTCCGTCCCCTTCTCTTCCGGTCAACGGCCCTGTATTCCCTCCCCTGGACTCGACCCCGGCTCGTCTCCCCCCTCATTCCCCTCTTGTGTCTCCTCCTCTTTCTCCTGACCCGATACCTCCGTCGCACGTCTGGTCTCGCCGTCCCTCCCGTGCTCGCCCTGTCTCCCCTGTCTCGCGCTCCCACCCTATGTTGCTTCGTTCCCACGTGGCTCTTCCTCCCCTCCTGCCGTCGCCTCCTCCGTCCTCCCTTGTCATTGCGCCTCCCCCTCTGTCTGACTTCCTTCGTGCCGCCCGTCCTCTTGTTCCACGGGTCCTTGCCTCTCTTGTTACCGACCCGTCTGTTCCGGTTTCGCGCCTTGACGCTCTTGTCGCTGCGGTCGCTGACTTCGCCTCTACTCGTCGCCTTGACTACGCCACCGCTCTCGTCTCTGAGCCTGCCTGTCCTCCGTTTGTCGGGGGTGCTCCTGCCCTTGGCAATGACGTCCTGGAGGACCGCCAGTACGAGCTTGCTTTCCTGTCCGAGGCTGCTCCCCATCTCTCTTCCATGCTGCTAGTCCTTGAGGGTGACCCAGACACTTTCGACATCCCGACCCCCC